TACACTCGAAAGGGTGAAGGTGCATCAGAGATGACGACTTTACGAGAACAAATAGCATATGATATCAGTCATTCGTGATTGAACTAGTCATTTGTTATCTTTGAAATTTATGTATTACGTATTGTTATTTGTTCAGTTCGCTTGTTTTGTGGTTGCTGGAAGTTTTTTTTATGTTTGTTGGGTTGTGTTTCATGTTTCTTTGGGGATGTCCACACATTATTTAGCTGGTTTTATGGTTGGTGGATGTCTAGTGCCAGATTTTCTTATCATACATGTGTAATAATTACATATTTATAATATATGTAAATGCATAAGTATTGTGTCCTAACGTATGCAATGCTTGAATGTCATGAAGTTCCAAGAATGCTTTTTATTCTGATATTAACGAAAGTTTTTGTAGTGTGGCTGGGGATGTGTGCTAAAGTTAGAATACTGGTTGGTTTTAAAAAATTATGGCATATAGCATTTGTTTCAGCATAAAAATGTGTAGAATTCTAATTAGTGGTGTTTGAGAACCTTTTCATGATAAGCAAAGATGCGTATGAGAACTGCACACATATCTAAAGTGAGCAGAGAAAGGTTTAGCATGGCTGAGCCACTTATCAGTGAGATGAAAGGGAGAGAAAGATGATCCAAATTAAACATAATTCATAAAGTAGTTCAATATTTTTCTTTTTTATACTAATTTGCAATTATTACAGCTACTAATGCAACCAAAAAAAAAACATAAAAATGTATTTATCGCAAGTCCCATCACATCCAAGTAGACAATATTATGCTTTACATGTTTGGACAAGGATAAAAGCGTAATGTTTGTTATTCTCTTTACTCTTTTTTTAGCGCCAATTTGGTTGCAGACATTTGTTTAAATTGAAAAGGGTCCAAGCAATCATAAAATTTGATCTGGTTTAGCATCTCAGTAGTTTGTTTTGACTTCTTTTAATCTACTTATTATAACCTCTACTTTTAGGAATCCAAGTAGACAATACTGCATCAACTCCTACCTTATGATTTCACTCATTTATCGAAACTACGAAATCATAGACAATTTTATAGATCTCAGAGTTTCTAAAAGTTCAAACGTATCACCTGTGTCTGTCCCTGTTCTTACTTTATATCATTCTAGTATTGTACAGGTGTTGAGCACATTTGAAATGAGTACTGGTATTGTACTAGTGTTCAAAAAAAAAATGTAGGGTTCTCTTTTCTGGTGAATTGGTTTAGAATTGTTAAAGAGTTGGGGAGTTTGAACATGTGTTTTCAGGGATGATGCTCTCTGTTGTAAATCTGAGTATGATGGTGCCTCTCATTGCAGCTTGGATGACCCTTCTTTTAGGGCAAGGGCAAACACTGCTTCAGCAAAATGTTTATCTCGTTCCAATTGTTCTTTTGCTTTGCTGAAATGTTCTGAGGGTGCTTTATATGATCCAATATTCATTATTCATTGTTCATTTCTGTTCAAAACTGCAAAAGGCAGTTTGGATAGCTGTTTTTAAATCTGCAATTTTAATGTTTATTTAGTTGTTTGGTTATCGAAACTGGATGGGTGGTGTCTCTCTTTGAAGCAGCTTGGATGGCCCTTCTTTCAGGGCAACCGCTGCCTTCTATATTTCGTTGGTACATGGTTTGTTGCATTGGTTTGATTTCACATGTTAGCAGCTTGGATGGATTCTGCCAATGTTTTAGATAGGTAATATATGTTGCTTTAGGACTTTTATTATCTGTTAAAGTGGTTTTGCTTATATGAGGGTATCGTTGGAGACTTTTGTGCTGTCAAAGTGGTTTGCTACATATTCTTTGCTTAAAAGAGGGTAATGTTGGAGACGTTTTGCTTATATTAGGGTATCGTGGTAGACATTTTGTGGATATATTGATCAGCATTTTGAATGTAATGCGTTTTTAATTAGTAATGAGTTTAATGTGAAGAATGCTCTCTGTTTTCATTGTCTGGATGACCCCTTCCCACAATGGTTCTACAAATGCATCTACTTTGCTGAAAAACAAAAGTTGAAGCTGCTCTCTTTTATTTAGAACTGAATGAGTTTAATGTGAAGAATGGATTCACATTGCTTACCTGCTTCGGCATGCCTGTTCATTTCGGCATTACCTGGAGTACCTTGGATGGCCAGTTAATTTGTAATGTATCACCTGTTGATTCACATTGCTTACTTGCACTTTTGTTCTTATGATTTACATGTTGATTCACATTGCTTCGGCATACCTGTTCATGAGTATGTTTTACATTGCTTCGGTTAAATGTATGGAATATGTAATTCATTGTTATTACAGTTTGGAAGACCCTTCTTTTAGGGTAACTGCTGCTTCAGTAACAGTGTTTCATATGAATTATTCAGCCCTTACAATTGAAACTACTGCAGCTTGATTTGATTTGTCTGGATTCTGAATATGATATTTATGTGCATGCATGTGAGAATGAAAAATCGATTACAATTTGTGTGCTATGCATGTGAGAATGAAGTTCAGATAAATTTGGAAGCGAAATAAGCGTACAAAATGAGCCTACATGTTGCAATGAATTTATCTTCTATTTATCTTGTTTTTATATTTTTTATGTCTATTAATTTTATTGAGATAACTGTGGAGCAGCTTGGATGACCATAGAACTTTGTTGTCGGCAATCATTGCTTCCACACTTTGGTAAGTTGAGTTTCTTTATTTCCTTTAATTTTTAACTGATCTACTCTTTTTTTAATAATTGAATGACGATGAGCTCCAGATATTCAGGGAAGTCCGGGCAAGTGATGTGCCGCTGTGGGTTACTATCCTTGTTACTCACGTCACGCCAGTCACATAGCTGCGGACGACAATTCTACATGTGCTCTCGGTGGGCACACAGACCGGAGAACTGCAAATTCTTCAGGTGGGTCGACAGTACAACCGTTTATATGATATCCCAACTGGACACCACTGCACGGAGTTCGACAGTATCACAACAGGAGAACACCGCATGTGGTTCAAATGCTTCTGTTTCTACGATATTCCAGTCAGACAGGTTTGCTCGGGGTTCTGAGATATCAGAATCGGACAGCATTCGTCGTAATATGCTTTTACATTTTAAAGTCAATATTGTAAATTTTTTTTCCTTGTAGTTTTAACATGTTTTTTTTTTGTCTCATTATACTCCATATTAGTGTGCGAATGTGTACTTTACTTTCGTATATGTAAATGTGCTTATTTGATGTAATCAGAACTTATTGAATTATATAAATGTAATTCAACTCTTTTGCATTTTCATGTTTTTACATTTGAGAAAATAATAAATTTTGCATGATAAATTATTCATTCAACTAAAAAAATATGCAAATAAGCTTATTATCTTTACTTTCGTATATGTAAATGTGCTTATTTGATGTAATCAGAACTTATTGAATTATATAAATGTAATTCAACTCTTTTGCATTTTCATGTTTTTACATTTGAGAAAATAATAAATTTTGCATGATAAATTATTCATTCAACTAAAAAAATATGCAAATAAGCTTATTATCTAAAACGCACAAACCAAACAGCTAAACAGCTTATCCAAAACAGGGGCAAAATGATCATTTATCCAGAATCAGTTGTTTTCCAAAAGCACAAACCAAACAACTAGCCAGCTTATCCAGATCAGCTGCTCATCAGCAGATTATCAGGATAAGTTGCTTATCAGCAGAAGTTGGATAAACTGCAACTACCCCAAACAGACTCTTAACTTTGTTTTATGTTTCACTTTTAAAGGCCAATATTCTGCACCCTAAAGCACTGCAGGACTCACCATCATCTTATAAATTTTTTTTTTTTCAGTCTAAGTGGTACTTTTCTATCACAAAATAGACTCGATGGAGTCCTCTACTTCAACCAACAAACCTGAATTCTACTAATAACATCCCTATCTATATCAACATTACTATGAACAATAGAACCGAGATATCTAAATATTCATGCCTTTTAATGATTTGATCACCCATGGTTACAACTCTGTCACTAGAGCTACTACTATTAAAATTGCATTCCATGCATTTAGTCTTAAATCCACCCAAACGACGACCTTTAGACTCCAATGTACACCTCCATTAACTTAAGTTTTTTTTGAACTCTTTCTCTAGTCTTATCCACAAAAAAGATTCATAAAGAAAGAAACCAATCAACTAAAAGTTGTTGCAATACAAAAAACACCTAGATTTAATATATAAATTTCAATAATTAAAAGCACCATCAACACTTAGGAATACAATCAATCACCGATTCATTATTAGCTTATGATTCAGTTCTTATTTTCTGGCTTCTTCAATACAAACAACTTTTCAACTGTGTTTCCAACAATAAATTAAACATTAATTTACAAAGGAAAAAACATATAAGACGACACTCTTGAAAAATTAAAGAAAGATCATTACACTCACTTTAAAAATTTTATTTTTCATCTACTTTACCAGTTGCAATTTGGCACTTATAAACAAATTTTGGCCCGTGTTTAGTTTATGAATTTTTTGGCCAATCCATGTTTTAGCAAAAAAAAAAGAATGCCTTCAGAAGACAAATAAAAATAAGTTATCACCAAATCAGTAAAGCCAAAATCAATCCTTCATGAACTTTCTTTCCCATAATTAATTATTGTACCTTTAGGGAGAAATTAGCATCATGAATCACGGTCAAATAAAAAAAAAATGCAGTATACCAAACATGATTCCTAAAGAAAAACAGAAGTACACTGGAAACAGGGAGAGATTAAATAAAGGACAGTGTATTATGAAGAATGATTCAGAGCGATTGGAGTTCAAAATGAAGAAAAGACATTCTTCACAGAATATAAGTCATTAACATGAAATTAAAAGATAAAAAGAGCAATGGAGCCAAAATTTTTAAATACTTTTTAAGCTATACAAACTAAAATTCTCAAGTGTGCTTTCATTTTGAATACATTTAAATAAAATTAAATTCAGTTCTTCCTAAAAAGAAAATAAATTTTAAGAAAAAATCATGCATGCAAGGAAACTTACTGCAGCTCTAGTTGCATCTTTTGTAGCTAAGGCAATGTCAAGCATTAGAAGGCATACATGAAGAGCTGTTCTCTGGAAATGCAATATTATTATGTTAGATTAGATTTTGACATAAAAGGCAAACAAGTATTAGAGCATCATACCTCATCTATGGGTTCTATGTTATTATACAATGGCTCTAGAACTGACAAAGCATGTTCATAATCATGTAGATGGTAGAGTACAGCAGCCTGCAAAACAAACAATGTTGCAAGAAATTGTTACAAAATTAAATAAATTAAAAAGTCAGAAATATTAATTCAATCATATATGGTAGCATACAATGTTAAATGTCACAACAGATGTGCCAAACTCATCTGCATATGCCATCTTAACAGTATCTGTGGCGGCCAACTGATTTGAGGAATTAGAACTACCCCTGGATATAGAATTAACATTGTTTCCGACCATGCTAGCTAATTCAGTTTGATCTCTAGCTTTGAGAGCAAGTTCTTCGCTTGTTTTCTAGATTGCCACAAATATGTGATCAGTAATTAAAAGGAAAGATTAATTTTGAAGTAAATATGAAAGTAGCAAAAAAGAAAAACAATGGCAGTTCGTAACAAGAACAGTGAAGCAGACATTGAAAATTAAACACCAACAAAACTCAATAATCTCAGCACAAGTTATCAAATCAAACTGAAAATGAAAAGCAATACAAAAAATTTTATATCCTAGTTACATGAAATCAAATATATCCAGTATTGCTCAGCTCCAAAAAAATAGTCTTATATCCAATGCTAACAAGTTCTTATACTTCAAGATGGTGCAACTAAATAAACTGTATCATCCATACTCATATGGCGTCAAGTTTCTCTGCAGATGGTTTTGAGGAGAACAGCATGTCTCACATATAAAAACCTTAAAAAACAAATGCCTGTCTAGTATAGCCTAATATTCTTTATTTCACACATCATATGTTTCTCAGATCTAACGAAGTTTCTTATGCATATCTAACATTACTTTTGACCTTAATGCTACGGATTTGCTTAACCAAACATCCCACCTTTTTAAAGTTGTAATACATTGTTCATGACCAAGCATTTTATTCCTGCCGTTGATATGCGACCTAAAATTCAAAAATTCTAATCCTTATGAGTTTTAAATTAATGTTAATTTGGAAATAAATTCCTTGGATCATGTCCCAACAGATGTCAACGATGTTTGCTTTAAGTCCTAAGTCATCACCTACTGTGTGTATTCATATGCACATCTGCATAAAGTTTTATCACTATATAAAGCCTTCTAATTGATCAATAACCAATGCAAAGATCTAGATAAAGTTTGTAATGTAACTATTGATCAATACAAGACATCGCAACTGATAGCACCTACACCGCATCCGTTTATGTATTTACTCTTTTTCTAATACCCTTGAGATCTCAATGCAGAATTAAGGAACAGCTAAACATAAGAAAAAAATTGACGTTTTTGGGTAAACATGCTAATTACATATTTTAGTACGATAACAAAAGGCTATGGCTATAGATTGGCCAAGAGAAGTGTTAGGTCCTGCCTGCAAAAGGCTAGTTTCTGCTACTTTGAGTATCTGCTATTCTACAAAGCTAAAGATATGTTAAATATTGCAAAATTTAGGACGAACTTTCTTAGAGGGAAAAACTCTTTAATTTTTTATTATCTAATACAAGCAAATAATAAGTATACAGCTCAGAGTAACTCTAATATAATTGGAGGGAAATTCAAATCATTATGATAAAAAGGAAAGAAATAAAATGCAATAATGGATAATTACGGGAGAATAATTTCTCCCCATCAAATATAGCAGTTGAACCATAATTTCCTAAATCATGGGTGAGCCCATGTGGTCCACGGATGCATACATATCAACACACTTCCTCATGTTGAGCTGTATATATCACACATCCCAAACGTGCTACTAAGATCAACTTGGGGTGTATATGAGTCGACTCGGCTCATTAACAAGCTCATGAGTCGAGTTTATCGAGCCACGAGCTCGTCCTAGCTCATCTTGTTGGCTTGCGAGTCAGCTAAATTAGTCTACCGCTAGTCATTTTGATGTCGGTGAGCTACCGTTGCATCCTCCTCCTCTGGCCACCAACACTTTATCCGATGAGCTCAAATAAATATTGAATTTTTAGTTTGTCGTGAGCTAGTTGCTACCACTATGAGCCGAGCTCGAGCTTGAGCTCGTCATTCGAGTGCAAGCTCACAATTTGGCAGATGAGTTAAGCCCGATAATGGCATGGATCGAGCTCGACTCAACTCGTTTACACCCCTACTATCAGCAATCTGATACTGAGTTTAGATATGACTTAGCTAGACAACCCCTCCGTTAACCTTCTCAAAGATGAAATGCATGTCAATCTCTATATGTTTGTTTCAATTATGATAAACGATTTTTTGAAATGTTGATGGTTGGCTATAAAGTTGAAAAAATCAAAAGAATAATGATTTAAGATATTTTCAAAGAAATTACTGGTGGAACTACATATGGAGAACAAAAGTACTATTAAGATGTTTTAAGATCATTGATCTCAAACTTAAAATCATTATTCTTTTGATTTTTTTCAATTTCCCATATATCATTGTCAAAATAATGTCATCTACATACACAATAAGGATGATTATCATACCTTCCTGATTTGATTTCATAAACACAGTATGATCAGTTTGACACTGATAATACCCATTGGCAAGAATAATTTTTGTGAACCCTTCAAACCATGCTTTGGGAGACTATTTCAACCCATGCAATGATTTTTTTAGTTTGCACACTAGCTGATTGTTTGTATTATTCCTTAATCCTGGGGGTATCTTCATACACACTTCTTTCTCAAAATCTCCATTAATAATACAATATTAATATTTAGTTGATGTGAAGACAGTCCTAGTTGATAGCCAACGACATTAATATACTCTTATTATGTTGAGTTTCGCCACTGGTGTAAAAATTTTCTGGTATCAATCCCATAGAACTGAGGGACCTCTTTTACTACAAGTCTAGCATATAACCTTTCTATATTTTCATTTGCTTTGTATTTAACATTGAATATAAATTTGCATCCTACATTTCTTTTCCGAGGTGACAATTGTTGTGATCTAAGTATCATTCTTTTTAAGAGCTAGAATCACTTCTTCCACAATCTTTTTCCAAGCAGGAATAGATAAGGCCCTTAGATTGAATTTGGGACCCGCATATTATTCAAGTTCTGAACAAAAGATTTGTAAGAGGATGATAATTATTCACAAGTCACAAATTCTTCTATCGAGTGTTTTGTGCATTCTTGTACTCCTTGGTTCACTTGTGTAAACCCAACCTCTGTGTGAATACTTTGGGTATGTAAAATTGATTTCAGTGATTTGCATTCCAGATTTTGCATATTGTCACTTGGATGCTCACTAGGTTTTTTCTTTCTGGCGTACACACACAGTTCTTAATTCTTGGTGGGAGTTGTGAGAAGATTTGGTGTAGTAGGTTCATTTTAGATTAATTTATGATAGTGAGGACAATAGTGGGTTCATCAGAGATATAAGAGAGGTGAGTTTGATGTTTCTGAATGGTACCCCAAGTCTGATATTCTTTCTATATTAGATTTGGGGTAATATGATTGGTTTTCAAAGGAGGGGCATCCATAAAGTTATAGAATTTTTATATTACTGAAGAGTACTATTTATAACCCTTTTTGTTAAAAAGTAGCCGACAAAAACACATTTTGACCTGGGATCAAGTTTGGTATTATGTGGTTGATGTGGTTGAACAAAAGCGATGCAACCAAAAAAAAATTTTGTGGAAGAAGAAAAATACTAAATGTGAGATCGGATTTTATGATTGTATTGAGAGATTTGTTAAAGCTTAACACTCTCATAAGCATCCTATGTAGGAGACACTTGGATGGGAGAAATGCATCCCTCTAATAGTGTTTGGGTACATTGTTAGTGAATGGAATTGAACAAGCCATCTCGAGATATATGTTCTTTCTCTCAACCACACCATTTTGTCAGGATGTGTCAACATAAAAGCTTATATATGAGTGATCTCATTTTTGGATAAATAAAGGCTTATGGTGGAGTTGTAGTAGTCTTTTGCATTATCTCTGAAATTGGATGGAGTTCATGTTGTAGAAGATTTCAAATATACTAACAGTTTCATATTTTTCCTTCATGAGAAAGGTCCAAGTGGTTCAGATGTGATCATCTATGAAGGTGACAAACCACCTAGTGCCAATTGTATTTTTTTTATTTTTGAGAGCCCCCGAATATTAATATGAACCATGGAGAAATTGATTTGTATTTCAGGCTTGGGTATACTTGTCGCATATGTTTAGCAAGTTGATAAGCTTTATAATGATAAGAACTAAACTTTTATTGATAAACAATTTATGATAAAATTTTTCAATATATATAAATTAGGGTGCCCAGGAAAAAAGTCATAACATAACTTGACTCTCATGAGTAAGAATTTGATACAAGACTTGACTAAAAGAATTGTGAGCGATAGGATGATCCTTTTGAAGTGAGTTTTAGTGATTGGACAAAGTTCATGATACAAGTTAGCACTGTCGATCACATTCCCAAGTCCATCACATGAAATTCACAGAATTTATATCACGATTAAGTTTACTGATAGATGATAAATTGCAGTTAAGTTTGAAAGCATAACACACAGATTGCAGAAGAAGACCATAGTGAGTTTACACTTCCTCTTTCTTTTATAGATGAGGGAGCATCTACAGTTCTAACTACAACATGTATAGTGATATCACATGTTACGTAATTAGATCCTCCAGAGTCTATTATCCAAGGATAATTCTTCCTATTAAGAACAACAATGGCAGATAAAAGACTATCTTGATGTGCTACAAAACTGCTAGAAGGGACAAGATATTATCCCAAAATCATTTGGAGAACTTTAAGTTGTTTCTTGCAAAATGGACTATGTTCATGAGGCATGTTTTCATTTAATGTTGTGTTTTCTTGGATTTTTCTATCACTGTTTGATGTGTGTTCATCTTGATAACTACTAAGATTTCAAATTTTGTGCAATTTGCTGCAAGCATGTTCATCTTGATAACTACTAAGATTGAAAATTGTGCAATTTGATGTGTGGTTCAAGCATCTAGGTGAAAGTGAGGTGCGTCTCAAATGTTATTTCAGTGAGATTTAAGGCCCCGATTTTGTGCTTTAGGTTATTTTAAAATTTTAATTTATGTTCAAAATATCAAATTAACATATCCGATCAAACCTAAACCTTTTTGCTTAAAGGAAAATACAACATAAGAAAACTGAGAGCCTCGTTGTGCTTCAAACCACTCCACATGAACAGCATGGAATAAGCTAGCGGCACCCCAACCCTGTTGCATTGCCACCACAGCTACTTCCCCACCTCGGCTCTTGTTGACGGTAACCCTTCTCATTTTGTCTTCGTCTTCTACACAAATATTGTTTCTGTATTTACATTTTTTTTCTTTGATGATTAGCAATTCATATACTCTGTTTTGCAAAATATTTTCACTATTCTGAATGAAGTGTTACGCATTGGATGATTATTTTCAAACTCTGTCAAACTTATAAGAAGAGTTAGATGGAAAATAGAAAAGATCCACCCTGGATATATAGTTTCAAGTGCCGATTGTAATGGCTGAGAAAATTTTATTTGAAATATAATTGTTGTTAAAATGATTAAGGGAAGTGTAACAAAAATGAAATAACATATTTTTTATTCTCAGAAAAATGTTGCACATACCATAAATTTCAAGTTTAGAATAGTTATTTTCACGCTTCATCAAAATTTCTAATAACGATTCAAAGGAAATAGAAAAGATCTGTTCTGGATTTATAATTTCAAGCGCAACTTGCAGTGGGTGAGAAGTTAAATTTATTTGAAATGTAGGTATAGTCAAAATGATTAAAAGTGTAACAAAATGAAATAATATCTTTTTAATTCTCATAAAAATGTTGTGCATGCCAAAGTACACAAATAAGTGAAATAGAAAGATTCATCCTAGTATGAATAAAGTGAAAATGTCAAAGTAGTAACATCAATAATTTGAGGACAAAGCTGATGGTAGCTGTTTATTTTGTTAGTGGACTTAGTGGCAAATATATATATATATATATTTTTTATTGTCATAATTCTCCTAAAGCTATTAGGGGAGTTATAAATCGATATATGATGAATGTGAAAGATGACATAAATGATGGACTAGTGTAACTCATCAAATGGCTCTATAAAATAGAGAGAGCCTTGTAAGCATGTTCATACGGACATTGGAAAACTCCTCTTTTAGAATAAAATTTTATTTGGTGTGGCAACTTTTACATTTCATGTCAACATGATTTGTTCTATGTTTTGTAAAGATTGAATACTTAAACCTCCTTCCATGCATAAACTCAAAACATGAATATTAAGGAAATGAAAACCACCAAAAGGTATAGACTTAAGATGCAACATGTTGAATGACTAGTAGAATTAAAAAAAAAAGGTTTGATCATTCTTTTAATAAACAATTAATATGACACTTTCTTTCTGAAATTCTCTTGAAGCAAAATCAGGTGAAGAATGCATAGTATATTTTCAAACGAATTGGTGTTGTAGAGAAGATTTGAGAGCATTTAGTAGAATAAATCATCATTGACAATGCAAGGGCTAAGAATTCGACGGGAAGTAAATTTTGATGGTCAAAAGAAAACATATGTGTTACATTCTATGCACTACTAATTGCATTGATTTAATCGTTGAAAAACTTGGAGAGTTGTCTTAGCATAAAATTGCCGACTAGAGTCAAAAAGATTATTACGTTTAATTACAATCATAGTTGGATATTTTTATAAGAAAGCATTCAATGGACCTAAAGCTACTAAATTGATTACAACGTACTTAAATTTGCAAAGCATCTTAGAAGTAAAGCAATTATTAGAGGTTATGTTTACGTCCAAATAGCAGTTAACTACTTAACTTATGCTTGGGCAATAAAACACGAAAATAAGAAGTAAAGAAGTATATTTTTAATGATTAATCATAACTTAAGCTAACACCTCTACTAAGCTCAGTCATATTTAAAGAATAGTTGATGCATGGAAAAAGTCAAATATGGGTTTCATTTACAATGCAATGATGAATGTGAGGAAGGAGTTGATAACAAAAGGCTTAGAGAGAGATGAATAAAACAATAGGACAATTTGGGAAATTATTTATGAGAGATAGAAACTTAAGCTGCATTATTATTTGCAATGGCACCATATAGTATCTAAATCCTCAATAGCAACATATTGAGAATAAGTCCACCAATCCAAAAATCAAATTTGGTTTGCACCATTATATGAATATATTGATTGCTGACTCAACAGAGAAGATGAATGTTAATCCTCCAAAATGTGGCTTTCAAAAATAAGAATTCTTCGGATTACAACAAGCCAAAAATACCATATTAAAACATTCCCCACGTAACTTTTATATTTCTTTCTAATTTATATATATATATATTGTACTTTTTTTAATAATCAGTTGTGGTACTGGTGAATTCAATTCTGAGATGACATTCTTGAATTATAAAATTTACAATAAAAAAACTGAGTCTTACATACTTGTCGTCCAGGTGTATGCAAAATTTGAGTACATATAACCAGAATCATATCAAGAGAAAAAAACATTTGATTACCATTACTGATAAACTTATTGATTTATAATATGTAAACCAAGAGATTAAAAATAAACATTTAAACCAGACATTTTAGAGAATGAGTAAGTGAAAATTAAAAAAAAAAGTAAAATCACCACAATTACAATTACAAAAAGAGTTCAATGTAGCTTCTTTGATGGATGAAGATATTAACAGCACTGAAAAAGAAAGTAACAGAGAAGTTTTATATAATACTTTATGTGATCGAAATTAGAATCATGAAAACAGTCATTAGTTTAAAACTAAATTAATGTTCCTATTTTCTAATTTTTATTGCTAGGGAAGAAGATGATGAGATTGAATACAAGATTGGGGGAACGTTGATATAACTGATGATGAGGGTGAAAAAAGCAATTAACTATAGTTATGATTGTTCTAGTAACTATCTAGTAACTACCATCAAAGGGGAGTGGGGTCAACTTTTTTATTCAAAAAATTATTTAAGTTGAATTGGTAAAGGAAGATACCTACTATTTAGTGCAAATGGCATTGTATGATTTTTGTGGTCATACTTTTACTTTTTGCGACCTAATTTTGACATCTTACTTAAATATTAGTTTATTACTTACTATTTCCAAATTTTTATTATTTAATGATGTAACTCTGAGGCAAACCACTCACCTCATAGAAATAACATGACTCATTGCCCGATTATATTCCTTTAAACCTTAATAACTACCATATAGATAGACAAAACATTGTTTTAGAGCATCTTTTAATCATGCAGCCTACAGATAAAAATATAATCATTCTGCTGACCGCATAAAGAAAAAATTAGAAAAATCAAATGTAAACAACTAAATTTTTTTTTCTGGAATTTAGCCAAATCAGAGCACTTGAAATTAGAATTAATTTGTTGGCCCATATATTGGTTCATTTGTTGTAATAACTCGCCCAATTTTAAGCATGTTTTTAAAGCAGGTCTAACAGACTGCAGAATTTTGATATAAAAAATCTTGATAATAGTGATATTTTGTAGTGCAATCAGTGTAGTTATCTGTTTACTCTTTCATTATTTTTATTAATGAATGTTCAAAATAGATTTCGATGAAAATGGATATAAGTCATTTTATGTTCTAGATCAAGATATACTGTTTCCATCTTAAATTTTGAAGCACCAATCAAAACTAATGAGGCAGAAATTGATTTTTTTCACTGTAAGAAATTATCAATCAAACACGTTCATATTATCAACCAACAAGTCATATCATCTAGGCCTAAGTCGAAAGACAATTTCAGCTAAATAAAATTATCCCAAAAAAACATTGATGCCATTCATCAAATAATAAAATAAAAAAAAGATTATTTCAGTTATAATTTAAGTATCCTGCCCAGAAAAAGTCACAAACTGGAAGAGGAAGCCCCGCAATCAAGCAATCAAGATATTAAATTCTAATAGTGATAAAATAAAGAAAATCAGATCATTATAGCTGCGTCTTCAACTACCAACAAAACAATATTCAATTATTATATTGAGATGATGAAAACAACACTCCTGCAGTCCTGCTTTTGTGTGATTCTCATAAAAGCTGCTGAAACAGATACATTTCAAAGCAGATGTAAATCTCACTGATTCTAACCATACGAAGAAAGACATTGCAAAAATGCTGCCTTCAAATAAGAAAAATAAGTCCACATTATTTATACTGGATTCCATATAAGCCCTGTTTGAATGGCCTAACAGATCAAATACTATAAGAACTCAAAATCAACTTTTTATTAATATGATCACTTCATTAAGAAAGCCATATGAAGTGAAGTAGCTTACCACCTTGAGTTTATTAAGAAAATCAATCAGATGTTTTCGATCCGAGAAACCATCTCGATAGTATTCAGCCAAAGCAATGTTATGAAGAACCTGCAAACCACATCCAAAAAACAAAACAAGGTAAAGAAATCTATAAACTTTATGAGAAAATCATTGGAAGTCTCTAAAACCAAATTGGAGAAGAAAATGTAACTCAAGCAAAAAAAGTTATCTAGAATAATGGGATGATAGGAGTAGAGAAATCTTGGTAGAAGAAGAAAAGGAACAAGGAATTAATTCAATGATCAAGCTCAATTTTTAAATTTAAAAAAATGTAAGAGAGAATCTTGAATAATGTCATGATATTACAATATTACTAATGAGCCGATGCTTCCATATATCCAGCAAAGTAAGGCAGAACCGAGTTAAGTCCAGTTTGTTCCAAATTAAATCACGTCAACCTAATTACCTATGTAATTGAAAAACATAACCATTTCTCAATTTTGTTTCCAAATTTATCTTTTACTGATGATAGATCAAGATTCTCTTGATTATGAGATAGCATACAGCCACCAAAGTAGAAACAAACATAGAAGATAACAGAAATAGAAATCAGTGTTTGAAATGAGCAAAATAAATCTTGCAATCAATACCAATCAAACCTTCCATGACACAACTGAACACCAGCTTATTTAAGATGACAAAAAATTATAAAGAGAAACTTTATGCAAATAAGTAGACAGAAATGAAACCAATAAATGATCTTCAAATAATAAGAAGACACTAATTTGATTAAAAATTCAGACTATATAACTCTTAAAACTTAGATAGTACTATATAATTCTTAAAACTTAGATAGAGAGATATCAATATACAGCCATAATTTCTATGGGTATGCATACCTCAACAAAATGATGTATTGAATTATATGATGAAACAAAGAAAAAAACAAATCATACAAAATATGCCTATAACAGCAATACGGTCCAGCATATTCATCATTAGCTCTTTACCAACTAATTAATTTGTGTGAGCTTTATGAATCCTTCTTCCACAATAATTCTTCTTAAATGCCACAAGAAGTGTTAACCCCACCATGCACAAGTATTATTGCACAAGTTATATAAACGTCACATTTGACCTACCCTTTCTCATTCCTAATTAAATTTTATCAATAAGCTATCAACAATTGTGCATACCGAAATCACCTAATCCATTTTCTACAACCTTATGATTAACGTGAGCTACCCTACCATTACAATAATATAATCATCTATCATTATGATATATGCCGCCTATAATAACAAATATACTCTCTAAAATGGAGTGATGCCAGCAATAGAGGCAAAAAATATCATATTTACTTAATAACACAAAGTATAAATACCATTCAGATAAAGAGTGAGACGGTAGTTGATACAAGTGAAAAGAAAAAAAACAAGATCCTGAGGTTGATAATTGTAACAAAGTTACTAGTTGTATGCAGCTAAACTTTACATTCAATAAAATGAGACAAAAATATAAGCATAGAACTAAACTAAATAAAGTGGATTTGGAAATCAAGATATCTTCTATTTGTGCCAACATTGAGACTGCATGCTCATGATAATGTCATTTCAGCTAAATACTAATAAACATTTAAGCCAATGATACACCATACTGTATCTCAATTTCAGTTGAATTTTCATTACAGGTTGTTTTTGTTAGAATCTTCTCAAAGCTACCTAATAATTTCTTTGCCTATAGCTTTTAGTAACATCTAATATAAATTCAGAAGGCCACGAATAATAAAAAGTCAAATTACATATGTCTTGTTCAAACATATTGTTCATAGGTCAGAAAAACTCTATGGTAGCATCAAATAACAGAAATGAAGAAAAATTTACCGTTATACTATGAGATCCAAGCTATTATTGATTTTCTAGACAACTAATTCCATATTCAAATTATCTAAAAATGCAGTATTTGCATCAAAAGCTCCAAATCAACTTCCTAAATGCAGAACAAATGGTTAATTGCAACCTTTAAAAAAATAAAGAAAAAAAAACAGAACACTTATAAATATGTGCCCAAAAGGCAAACCCAAACCAACAGTACAAAAAATTAACACCCATAAACACTCCAACAAAAGCAGAAACAGAAGAAAGCAACGCTTCAAACCTTCGGATCGTTTTCCTTCTTAACTAGTAGTTGCTTCAAGACCTCAACGCACTCATGAAATCTCCTGCTCTGGAACATTGTCTCCGCCTCCTTGGCCAACCCAGCCGTGACGGCTTCCTCATCGAAAAATCCGTCTCTCACCAAAGCACTCACGTCTTCCATCTTCAAATTTGGTAGTCTCCGATCGGCTTCCCACCCCCAACCAACCAGAACAAAAGACAAACGCTTCAGCAAGCCAATCTCCAACGCTCCCTCAAAATCTCCATTTCCCGGCAATCAAATCAAGATTAAGCAGGCAAAAGCGATGCTCAGAGGCTCCTCTTCCATAGTAGCATATGTCGGACGACTAGGGTTTCTGCGAACAAGAAGGGGGTTTATTGTTTGCTGTCCGAGAGGCTTCAAGCCTACGAAGCTTTGGGAGAGAGAGAGCCGAAGAGAATTGGGGCGAATGATTGGATGGGCAAGGGGAGACAGAGGTGGAGCGTAAGAAAAGGATCCAGCTATCGGATTTAGTTAAGAGATTCGACGCGGAGAAGGCGATGGGGTTATGCGATTTTCGTATTTGCTAGGTTACGATCTTTTAAGGGGGCATTTTGCAGGAAGCGTTCCGATTCCGTAGCCGATTTCTGCTATAGGGTACATGGGAAATGAGTGGCCGCCTAGGCTTGTTTAATGAAAACAAGGGGAAGATTTACATTATTATGTATGTCATGTATAATATCTAAATTTTAATTTATATTTATCTCATCTTATCTATTTGTGAAAATATTTATTTCATATTTTGAAAATTAAAATAGTAATATTTTTATTGTGATATCTCATAATTATATAAGTATAAGTCTAGATACATAAATATTTAAGAATTGGTGGTATAATGACATGTATATAAATACCCCAAAAAAAGAAAAAATTAGATACGCACTACAAAAATTTTATTTATTTATATATCTAACATCCAAATTTTTATATTTATATTTATGATATTTTATCAGCATAAATGATAAATTTATGCATGAAAATATATATTTCACTTTTAAAAAGTAAATAATGATACTATTTTTAATGTGTTGTGAAAGATTTGAGTGATATCTATATAAATATGAATGTCTAGATGTTAGCTATGTAAGCAAATAAGAATTGTGTGCTATTAATGGAATTGTCCCAAAAAAAGAAAAAAAATAAAATGTAATGAATTTAAGAATATTTAATTTATAAACATAAATATAATAGTACTAAATATTTAATATTTAGCTATAAATTGCATTAAAAATTAACTTTATAAGTAAGATTTAATTTAATAAACACTAAATTTTAATACATTGATGCTCCTCCTTTTTCTATTTCTTCATGGGCCCACACCACCATAGCCAATAGAGATTACATGAATTTATATGATCTTAATTTTATAAGATGGATAAACTTTGAAATTTATATTTTTTTTTAGATTTTTTTTAATATTTTTTATATATTTGAAAAAAGAATAAGAGCTATTGTATGCAATTTTATTCATGTGATCTATGTCTAAGTCATACTCGCATGGCATTAATAGATTCACAAAGTAGAAGGGCTAGAAAGAAAAAATAGGAAGAAAAGAAATAATTCAAAAAGATAAAATATTTTATTAGATTATCAATAATTAAGAATTTGAGTACAAATAATTTGATGATCACATCTCCCTTCGGATCTCCTTCTATATAAGCTAAAATTTAGGGTTTGACATTAAGAAAAATATGGAATAAATTTCAATAACTTTTTATTATTTAATTACAGGAGGTATGTAGCCAAAAAAATAATGAAATTTCTTTTTATACTTTAACAAGAATTTTGACCAATCACAAGCATTATTTAGCTATATTTTTTGTCTAAATAGTGTCATTCATTATGCACATAAAGTTCGTCGATATTGAATAAGAATAATGTTGATTGAAGTAATTTAAGCGAGTAGGTCTATTTTGCATGGGGGCTAAGCGGTCTCTAGTAAGTTTGTCATCCTTATGGGCTCATATTTCTGGCGAGTTTGAGATCAAGGGAGTACACCACTTATGTCCTTATCCTATCAGGATATTTTGAACCAAAGTAGTTATATAAATCAGATCGTGGGGATATTTTGGTGTTTATTTAATTCTCTAATTTTATCTTGTCCTTAAAACATAACTGCTAAAAGAGCAAAAAGCTAAAATAATGTATTTTTTTTGCTATTTTGATCATAATAAGTCATTAGTTTGTTATTAACATATCACATTATAATGAAAAATATAAATAGCTTTGTTTCCACTCTTTAGGGGTATCTCAACTTAATTTTTTTCAATTCTTTGACAGTGAAGGATCATGCCAAAAAGTTCTCAAACTACGAGGCTATTACAATGTTAGTGTAAAAGATGAATGATTGTGAGGAAATAAAATATTTGGAAAAATCTACATCTTTTCCTCCTTTAAAAATGATAAAACTATAAGAACATTAAATTCTTGCCTAAGTGTCTATTGCCAACAACCTTCTGGAAGTTTTTTTCAGCTAAAGGAGTTTGTGGCATTTTTCTTCATCAAGTTCAACTTGGGTGGAGATGAGAAAGAAAATATGTGATGATGTGCCTCTTATTGCTTTTTGTGTAGTATCTCTCATTAAGATTGTTTAAGTGGTTGACTCTCCCTTTTCTACAATGATCAATATAAAGGGTTTATATACTTATTGTTACCTTTGAATATGAAGCAGATGTGAAAGAACTTCATAATGTGCAAACTTCAAAGTCTCCCATTGTTGAACTTGTGATTCTCATGATAGTGATGTTAAGGCTTTGAAGGAAGCGATGCTTTCTATTTAAGATGATTACTAACATGAGAAGTTAAGGATCACTAAAAGGATTAGAAAGTTGCAGCCCTTTGAGAAATATAAAGAGATTCATCTCGGTAACTTGGTGGATGGGATGGATCCACAACATTTGCTACTCCCTTTGATATTTTCTTAGTATATGTTACCATTATATTAAGTTAGAGTTGCATAACTTGAAGTGGAAGGTCTTCTCATTAATTAGGAGTGCTTCATCTTCATTAATTAATTTATGAGTGGGGTCAATTTCATATTATGACATTTCATTCATCCAGGCATCCTATCCAAAGAGCTATGTTTTTTATTTAGTTGTACAATCTTTTTTGGGAAAGCCAGTTTATCTACTATTGTTGAGTTTAAGAATCTGATAGTGAATAATGTTCATCTTATTGAATAATCTTTCCTTATGAAAATAATAATAATAATGTTGATCTCATTTTGGTGAGGTCTAGTACTCTCTCTGAGAACTTAGGATCTAGTCATAGGATTTTCTTATTGACCATCCTATAGAATTAGTGATGGGACCCATCTCACTTAGAAAACTAGCCAATTCTTGGCTCTTTTATGAAGTCTCACATATGTGGTCTTAAACCATCAACACTTGGTTGAGTTGGTTTAGACCAAATTGATGAAGCTCAAAGTAGAGTTCCCATCCATGAGGCCTTAGGAAGGCCTTGGGTGGCTTGGCCATTCACACCCCCATACCTCACCCTGCACATCCATACCTTCCCTCAGATCACCCCATACACATACACATCACTAAAATATACCTCCATGCCCACACTCCATCACTACCCTCACACCACCCAATTTCCACCAAAGTTCACCAAATTTCTCAAAATTTCCAAACTAACCAAAATTCACCAAAGCCAATCCTAGCCACCAATTTCACCCTAAATTTCCAAAATTACTAAATTTTTCATCAAAATTATCAAATTCAATCCCATCCAATTTCAAGTTAAAATCCAAAATTGCCCAAATTCACCCCAAATCTACCCTAAGTCTAAAACTCACCAAAATTGAATCCTCATGCCAAATCCAACTTCACCAAGTTCATGTCCTAAAAGTTATCATGAAGAATCAAAACTTCATTAAGCCCATCATGAAAAATTTAATCACCATCAAATCCAAAGCCCAAAGCCCATACCAAAATCAATTTCTCATAACCTATCCTAAAAGACCATCAAGCCAAGCCCAACTTCTCTTTTTTTTTTTTAAATTCAAAGCCCATTCAGGAACCACCGCAAAGAAGAAACCACGAAAATCTCGCCAAATACATATTTTTAAAAACAAAAATAATAGCATAGTTAATGTAAGGATTACCCAGTGAGAAGAGAGACCACAACACAGAGGAACCACCCCACAAATAAACTACAACACAGAGGAACTACCGCATAGAAAAATCATAGAACAGAAGAGCCACTACATAGAGAAACCACAACATAGAAGAACCACCACACTCACAAATCATTGTATGAAGAGGAACCACCACACTCACAAAGAGCCACAAAGTAGATAAAGGAGAGGGAGAAGATAAATCATCAAGAGAGCTGCATTAGAGGCGAGGGAAAGGGAAAGAGGAGAGTTTGGGGCAAGTATCATGAGAGGGAGGACTGCGGGAGAAGAGCACACCACTAGGGCAAGACATGTGGGAGAATGAATTGTGGTGAGGAGAGTGGCATCCATGTTAATGATATACGAAGGAATGTGGGTCGCAGAGTCGAGCTTGTGGCCTCGTTTCCTTCTGCTTTTCGTAAAAGCCGCCACACTGGAGTATCCAAATACCCTCGATTGACATTTCCAAGCCGCGTCACAGCCCTTTTGCCACCTCAAACGGGGCCTTAAATTCCACTTACAAAAACTTGAAATCATACATGATAATTACAAAATAAATTGTAAGTCCGCTTTGATGAAGTTCTTGGTGCAACTCAAAAATACCTACGACATTATGCACTATCAAAGAGAATCTATGTACAAGAGAAGAAGTAAAAGTAATAAATAAATAAAATAATCAGTATGGAGCCCCACACATTTAATTCATGCAAGTGAAATCACACATATATCACTTAGAGCTTGTATGATTTTTCATGTAGCTTATTTATTATGCAAACCATAAAATTTCTCTATTAGCAAAAAAATTAAGAGCATAATATGCATGCAAGTTATTTATTCGTAAATGGTGGAATTTAATAATATGCAGAAAAATTAACTATGTTATGAATAAGTACTAGTGCTTGAGATTTCTAAATATTGAAAATCTCTATTTTATTCCTCATTTCAAACAGAAAAATAATTAATTTTTAATTTATTAAATAAATTGGTACAAATATAAGAAATTTAATATTTTATAATTTTTAAAAATTATTTTTAAGTTAAATATATGATTTGTTAAAATTAAATAAAAATATTTTAAATTGAAGAGTTTACCACGTTCATGTGACATTTCAAACACACTATGCAATAGTAAACAAACAAAAAAGGCATCACATCAACTATAAAAGCTATATATGTTTGTAAGATGGTAAAACTATAAAAGTAAGAAAATAGTATGATGCGATTGCAATAAAAGATATAATTATAAGTATGAGTACATTGGTAACTACTTATATAAATATATATTAAATAATAAAAAAATTTGAGCTATACAATGCATGCTTTGGCGCATAAGTCTATATTAAAATAAAATTAATAATAAGATATAAGCATTGGGATCCTTGTACTCCCAATCATTGCAACCAAGCACTTTTTTGCATAGGCATACTCGAGATCATTCTAAGTGCTTGTGATCTTCTAATCCATATATTGTCTTCAATCTTGATTTGAAAATGAACTCAAGTGAAGAC